CCTGTGGTCGGCTCGGGCACCCAACGACTTCAACCTGCGGGACTGTAAGTGGGCGCTGGCGGGGTGCCATGCGGGATGGGGTGCATCGGGGGTGTCCCGCGCCCACCTTATCCCTCTGCTCCTCCTCAGTCAACGTCGGAGACTACATCCAGGCCGTGCTGGACAGAAACCTGGCGGAGAACATATCCCGTGTCCTTTACCCCAACGACAACGTAAGTCACGATGCGGGGAGGGGGGTATCCCTGATTTAGGGATGGCTAAAGAGCGCGCAGATGGAGCGTAAAGCGGAGCAGCCCCTCTTGCCGGGACACTGCAGAGATGCTTTTAGTTGTGTTTCAAGCTGCCGGGGCCGCAGCAGAGACGAGTCCGTTCCCAGGCAAATCCGTGCTCAGCGTGGTAAGGGGAGGGAGTGGGGATGAGCGTGTCCTGCTGCAGAAATGTTCCTTGAGTCTCAAAATATAACGTGAGGGCAAATTGATGAACACTGCTGGCATTTCCCTGCCGGTCCCTTGCAGCCCAGGACGATGGTGATGAGGATGAGGTGATGCCTCAAATTGCCCTTTGCATCCTGACCCTTTGCCGCGGGTGCTCTCGCTTGCTGCACGCTGCCTGGCAGGGAGGTGCGATGGGATGTACAGCCCTTCCCCGGCCACAAAACAAGCCGCAGAGTGGGGGAAGAAGGCGAAAGGCGGCTCTCCTTGCTCTGCAGCCTGGTTTGGGCAGGCCCTGATGGGTGGTTTTTTTACTTCCTACATAATCCTACCCCAGCCTTCCCAGCGGGCGAGGAGAGCTCAGGGCACCACAGCTCCAGCGATGAGGATGCCTCGTGCAGATCCTCCCTTGCAGACCAGTGGGTTGATGCGTTGTGCTGCGTGAACAGGGGTTTTAATTCTTGTCTTAGAAACAGCTCGTAGGTGTCACAGCCCCTAGGGCTTCCCTTCCCGTTGCCCCGGTACCTTTCTTTGCGGCTGAAACTGTCAAATCAGGGAGAACAGGTTTCAACGATGCTCGGGGGGGGTGGATTTAAACCTGTTTGTACCAGCACATCTCAAACCCCCGTGCTGAAATCTGGAAAGCAAGAAGATGTTGGGGTTAGAGCTGAGTGCCACAACACCGGCATCGGGGGAAGCTTGTGCCACGCGGTGGATGCGTGCCGGCGTGGATCCCCAGCCGGCAGGAAGCGCCGGGAAGGCTCAGCTCCCCCCGCGCAGGCGTGCCTGGGCAGCACGGTGCAATCCTGCAGCGTTCTGCTCCTCTGCTCGCAGTTCTTTGAGGGGAAGGAGCTGCGGCTGAAGCAGGAGTACTTCGTCGTGGCTGCCACCCTCCAGGACATCATACGCCGCTTCAAAGCATCCAAATACGGGAGCACGGACAGTGTCCGAACCATGTTTGATTCCTTCCCCGACCAGGTACGAGCCAGGGTTGCTCCGACACATGCCTCGGAGCTTGTTTCGATGCCTCCCAGGTGCGTGCACAGGGCTGGAGGGGTTTTGTGGCCCCTCTG